ATCACATATTAATATAAACTATAACTTGTATTAATTAAAATAGTGTTGTAGTGGGAAAGGAATTGATAGGTATCAATGGAATAGAACAGAGAGCCCAATTTCAATGTTTATGGGAATTTGGTATATAATGAGATGAGGAAAACATGGATTATTCAGTGGATACTGTTATGAACACTGACTGCACCCCTACTCTGCATGATGGGCAAACATTCACATTCACAAGAGCCAAAAGGCTCACATGCCATAGAACTAGCATCTTGTAAAAACTCATGAAGGTAAAGTGCAAGTCCCTGTAACAAGGATCAAGCTCAGTTTCTAAAAGTCATACTTTACTCAGAGGAGTCTCAAAGCTTGTGCTTTTTCTTTTACAACTAAAATAAAATTGTTGCCTGGTAAACAGCTGACATTCCACATTTATCTTAACCCAGTAGATTTCCAAGGACACAGTGCTAGGAAGGTAAACCTATACATTTTTCCAAAGAAAAAGAGAAGTGTTTTATTAACCTTTACCCTCCTGTGACTAGATGGGAAAAACAACATTGCATTCACACTTCATTCAGTATCCCAAAATTAATTTCAATTAAAGACCTAAATGTAAATGGCAAAACATAACAGAAGAACAAGACCTGAAAAAGTATAAAAATTAGGGGGATAATTAAAAGATTTCTATTCCATGAAGGACACCAAAGGTAAGAATTAACATATAACAAGATTAAAATATTTCCAATATCTGAACCTGACAAAGGAATAATATATAAAAAATTTCTTGTACTGTAATCAGTAAGAAAGCCTCAACAAAAAAATAGGCAAATTAACCTCATTAGTCAGATAATGCAAATCAAGACAAAACACAATTTCATATAAAAATGAGAAAATATCGAGTGCTGCTGAAGATGTAAAGAAAATGCAACCCTGATGACTTGATGGTGGAAGTGTAAACTGGCATTATCATTCCTGAGAACAATCCAGAAGAAATTAAATATACAAATACCCTACAATTTAGTCATTCTACTTTAGGGCACATATATCATAGCAACTATAGAACAGATTCATAAGAAGACAGGTATAAATTTGTAGAAGTGGAAACAGTGGAGAACAACCTAAGTACCTGTGACTAGAGAAAAAGATACATATGTGAACACAATGGAGTGATATGCACCAGTCAGAAGCATGTTATACAAGTAACATGTTATAAATGTTATACAAAGTAACAGGAACAGGTCTTGACAACCTATTATTTTATGGAAGTTAGAAGCAGAATGAGATTATACAAAAATATCATTTATGTAACATTTTAAAACTTACATAAATTTATATATATTTCAAGAAAATATATCCAAAATACAGAAGAGGGCTTAGTATTAGATGACAAACATTAAATACAGGAATGAAATCATGGCAGAAGATCAAGAGAAATTCTTATGCTAAAATGAGACAGGACAAAAGGGTAGCCTCTTTGGATCAATGATATTGGTACTATTAATGAAGAGTATAGTATGATCAATGACTGACTTAATTTTGAGCACCTGAAGTCTTTAAGAAAAAAAAAACATTTTTTACATGAGCAGATTGTTAAGACTTAAGTTAGACACTTGAACATTATTTTTCAAAATGTGAAAAACTATTTATGTTGCATAATATAGTAAGTACCTCAGAGGATTCATGAGTTGGTTGACCTTAAAAGAAACAGTTCATTCTTCCAAATAAGGTAAGCTCATTAAAAAAACTATACAATACAAAATAACATTTCAAGGCATTCATATTTTTGTTTTCTTGTCTTACACAAACATTCTACTGTTTTTCTCTAAATTAGGCTGTTCTGATACTTAGCAAAAATAACTTGAAATTACATTTTGGGTAAAATTATAAGTACAACTGGACTAATTCTAATTTTTAATTAAATACATGAATCTGAAATTCTAAACTGATGTACTTTGTGATTTTCACAGGATGTACATTTAAGTACATGTGGAAAAAATTATAAAACATATAACTGCCATAACATCTTACTTTTGGTTATGCTTTATATCTTCCAAAAAACCCTCTCATGTGAGGCCGATCTAAAGCAGTTATCTTCTATGTTACCAATTAGGACACTAACAATAAATAACAGAATTGAAATTGTATAGTAGGTGGTGATGTCTGGACTAGAATCTAGGTCTTACCAAAACTAGATTTGAGGTTTTACTTTTATTTCATTCCCCTCTTAGGTAATTTATATATAAGTGTAAATCTGTTTCTTTAAATCATAAAGAAATGAAACTGGCACATTGGTTTGTAGTAAATATACATAATGATATGAAGAAAAACAAGAGACTTGTATTAATTCCAATCCTGTAAAATATTAACAATTTAACTTAAAAAAGTCAATAAACTTTAATATATTTTTATTTGTCCTGTAAAGGTTACTCGACAATCTATTAAAAATAAATTTCAACTGCATTCAATTTGTTCCTTTTTCCAGTAATGAAAGCATACTGTATTCAGTAAACATATAATTATGACACATTGATAGACTAAATCAAGTACCTAAATAAAATGCTGAAACATATAAATTTATAGCTTGCTTACCTTTTCTTTTGTGAACTAATAAATACAATCAGAAGGACTAAGAAAATGAAGGGTTTTTATTGTAATTTATGATTTGTTATTTTAATTGAGTATTTTAGTTTCAGTTAGTCTTTCGGTAAAGTAGCACTCTTTAAGTGAGTTCCTGAAAATGACAGTATTGGAGCATTGAACATTACATTTCATCCCATTAAAAAAATATATACTAAAACTGTTATGATAAGAAATGGTTACAAAATTGCTCTGCTTATGCTAGTCCTAAATTCTTTTTATGGAATTTTAATAAAAAAGGGGTATTTGGACACAGTTAGTAGTAGTCTGATGATGTATACTGCAATTTAATATACTTCAACACTCTTAAGTATTGTAATTCATTCTGTGCTATACTCTTCTCTTTCAAACCAAAACCAAATTCACTGCTAATGAGTTCATTTTGACTCTAGTGTCCCATTTGGGTTTGCAAGGCTGTAAATCTTTACAGAATCAGATTGCCCCATCTTCCTTCCACAGAGCAGCTAGTAGGTTGAACTGCCAACCTTTTGGTTAGCAGTCAAATACCTTCGGTACTGTGCCACCAGAGCTCCTTCTCTTCTCTCTATACATTCATAATTAGCACTCACAAATTCTATCCTAATGACTGATCTTTTCTAACCTAAATAGGGCCAAGTCAACATTTCACTTCTAACATTCAGTTTAGATGACACAACACCAAAATTAATAATAAAAAATTTGTTTAAAGAACAAAATTCTGATAAATTATTCTCTAACAAATCAAAGTAAAACCTCTAATTGCAGAACACAAATGGAAAATAATATACTTTACCTCTTCCACGTGAAGGCTATATAATACCTGAGTGTCAGAAAAATAAGCCTAAATTAAATAAATTTTGTCATCTTATAATTATTTCTTTCTTCTGTGTAGGGCCAAGATCAGTATTTTAAATATATTACTCATTTTAATGTCATTTCAAAAAAAGATTTCCCTAGAACTCTCTAGTAAATTTCTTCTATGCTGGGTATGTATTTTGTTCCTTTTTGTCTTAGCCTGACCTGTTCTTGAATTACTTATTTGGTGAACATAAAGATAAATACATGAAATCACAATCTTCATCATATAATTCAAAGTTTTCAATGTTATCTGCAAATGTACTCTTATACACCTGTAATCCTGAGCATATGTACTATTCTGTAGTATGATCACACCAAGTATAAAGATTTTCCAATTTCCTGGGGAAATAGCCAGTGTATAAAGAGCTCTGGTGGTTTGGCAATTTGAACCCACCAGCCATTCCCTGGAGAAAGATGTGGTTATCTGCTTCTGTAAAGATTCCCAAAACCAAAACCCATGGCCATCTAGTCAATTTCAACTCATAGAGACCCTATTGGACAGAGAAGAACTGCCCCATCGGGTTTTCAAGGCTGTAATCTTTATGGAAACAGACTGTTACAATTTTCTTCTGTGTAGCAGCTGGTAGGTTCAAATTGTCAACCTTTTGGTTAGCAGCCAAGTGCTTAACCACTGTGCCACCAGAGCCCCTTCTATAAAGATTATTATTATTATTATTATTATTAGGTGCCATTGAGTTGGCTCTACACATAGCTACAAAGCGAAACTGCCTCATTGTGCGTCACCATCACAAATGTTGCTATGTTGAGTCACTGTTGCAGCCACTACAGCCTTGAAAACTCTATGGGGCAATTCTACTCTGTCCTATAGGGTCACTATGAACCAGACTCAACTTGACAACAATGGTTTCTCCAGTGTATTGAAATTTACCTACATTTAAAATATTAATAAGCAAAAAACAAGTCAAATAGCATTACTGTATGCTAAATGGCAATTAAGCATTTTGTTTATTAGTCTCAGTAGTAAAAACTAAACCTAAAAACAATGTGTGTCCACATGACACAATTTTCAACATTCAAAGAACAGTCTAAGTTTGGAATTTTAAAAAGTAGTTACACTAAGGTAGAAGCAGAGACAGTATGCAAAGATTAAAAATCATTAGTGCTATAACTGATTAAATCATTAAGTGCAGACTCAAAACTTGAGTCTTGTTTGAAGGAAAAGAAGAGAGACCTTTTATATATTCTGCTTTGATTCAGGATGAAAACTAGTCATATTGTAAAGGAATAAAAAGTGATATCCTTACTAGTCATATTGTAAAGGAATAAAAAGTTACATCCTTAGAAGGATCCTTAGAAGAAGAAGAAATAGAAACAATCTGTAAGAAAAGACACATTTCAGCCTTTCTACTAGCAGGGAAAAAAACCATTATTAGGGCTACATACTCTTAATAGTAATCTCTAGAACCATCTCTTTCACAATGCTTCTAGTGACCTTTTCAAGATAACTTAAACAAAAAAATAATAATAGTATAGTTTGTGTGTAAAAACATATTACTGCCTAAAGGAAACCAAATACTGGGATGTAATACAGATGAGAAAATTTTTTATTATTCAGTTTACTTAAGGATGTTTTAAAAAAAAAAAAAGCATTTGCCTGGTTCTCATATTTATATGCTATCACTCAATTTCTGAGGATTCTCAATCAGTTAATTTAGCACTTTTAAAACGATCCCTACTGCAGCAAACTGTGTATTCTATAGTTCATCAATCTCTTTCAATAAACCTAGGGCTTTAAGTAGGATGAAAGTGACAGCAATCTCCATAACCTTAAAATCTAGGTGAAGCAAACATTCTCATGGTCCAATAATTTGCAAAATGCAACCAGGTCACTAGACCAATGACTAGTGTACAACTTTAATAATTTCTAGCAGCAAAACACCTGGAATACTCACTAAAACAAATGTTTGCATCAGATTGTAGATTAATTTCTTTGTAAGAAATAATTTTAAAAATTACTCTATAGTTCAACTGCAGGCAAATATGAATGGTATCAAAGATCTTGTTTATCTCCGCTTTTCCCAGTGGAATCAGGTGCAGTTGGAACTTTATTAGTTTCAACAAAAACAGATTCAAAGGCAGCTTCTTGTTCATCCAAAGAATCAGCAGCCGTAGCTCCTTTAAGTAGTGTTGTGTTTATAAAAGACTGTTGTTGCTTGGAGATTTTATTTGATTCCACTGTTTTTCTACCCCTTCTTTTACCGAGAATTTTGACATAATTAGCAGGTATAAGTCCTGTTGTTTGACCATCAAGACTAGCCAGAAGCCAACCACGCACTTTAGGTTGTTGTTCTGATGAAAGAAAAGATAGTTTAGTAATTATAACAGACCTTGGAGGAATACAGACAGTAAAATATTAATATTATATATCATATCAAATAAAATCCATATATTTACACAAAATATATACATTTATATTCAAAGTCAAATGCTGAGTAGGCTTAACAGTTTGAGGGGCTAGTCTTATATATATATATATATTTTTTTTTATTATAAAGTGAACATGTAGATAGGGTTAAGTAAAATAAGTCCACATTGTGTAGGGATATGGAGGCCATGGGAAGAAACTTTTTTTTTATTTTAAACTTAATTGTTTTTCTACCTTGGAGAACATATTTTATATCAGTTGGTCCATTTATAGAGTGGGGAGATTCATTCCTCAAAAGTTAAAAACTAACATTTATCTCTTTTTTTTTTTTAATCGTGGTGAAAATATATATACACCATAATATTAGCCAATACAACGACTTTCACATTGACAATTCAATGACACTGATTATAATTTTCATGCTGTACCATTATGGCTTGCTATCCTTTTCCAAAAATATTCTACCATCATTAACATAAACTCAATGCCCCCAAATAAAACTTCCTTTTTTAACTCAACAGCAGTGAGTTTGGGTTTTTTTTTCCCCTCTCTCTCACCTTTAGTAACCATTAATAATTTTTAGTTTCTATATATTTGCTTATTTTATGTAAATGAGATCATATAGTGTTTGTCCTTTCATGACTGATATATTTCACTCAGTATGTTTTCAAGGGTCATCTATGACTGTCTTTCGTATTTTAAACTTAAATGTAAGGATTGAATATCTCATACCTTCTGAATATGTAAGTTAGGGATAACTATAGAAAATAAATATATACCTTTATGCAGCTAGCTTTCTTTACATACTTTTGACCAAAATACAAAATGCATGTGATATAATGTGATTGTGACAAATGATGTGACTGTGACAAAGAATCCTGAAGACAGTGAACACTAATTTTAATCCAAGATGAGCAAGCTTTTGTTATTTCCAGCTACATGACAAAAAGTTTAAGGCAATGACCTAAGCTTAAAGTAGGGAAGATATTTAACATATTCAATTTTCTATTATGGCACTTTCTGACATATTTCTCCATGTCTTTAAAAACTGTTTAATCTGTTTAGAGTTTTATTTCAACATTACAATTTAGGCAAGATTTTTCTTTAATACTCCATAATAAAGGAAAAAATTAAACACTTAATCATGCCTGTGACTGATTTTGCTCTAAATGCTAAAATATAAACTTTACTTGAGTAAGCAAAGAAGCTTAAGCCAAAGTGTTAAGAGGCGCTATTACTTGAAGAATAATATGAGATATAAAATTTCTCTGAAATATAATGTAATTAAGAGATCATACTTGACTGCCTTTTTTATTTAGATTAATTGAAACTAATTATCTGTGTTATTCCTATTTCTAATAATAAATCTTAAAATAATTCTTCTGAAATCTAAAACAGTCAATTGCTTTTTCACTAGAAGAAAAACGCAAATATAATATGTAGCAGTCTAGGGAAAAAAAATAACCTGAGATGTGCATAAATTACTTGCTGAAATTATTTATTATTTTAGGATAATAATTCCTAAAATTCAATAAAGTTTCTGAATTAAACACTATTCAAGTAAAGCAATACCAAGTCCAAATGGGGATTCTTGGATAATGTGAGATGATCTCTTTGAGTTTTTTACATTTGCCATAATACTTACTTTATGCTTTTGTGTGTGGATTATTAGAGTTGGAATTCAAGTGTTCTGAATTCCTTTAGAAGAGACACTAAATAAACAAAAAGTTTCCCTATTATTGGAACAACCCTATTGGGACATTCTTCCTCTACTTTCCTCAGATTTGGAAGGTTTAAACTGTCACAAAAGAAAAATCCTAGTAACTACCTCAGAGTTAACTAATAATGACCAAGATCCTTTATTGCAATTAGCAATACAAACATTTACAAATATTAAATACTAAACACAAATAATCCCAATTTATTCATGGTTTATTACCTTTGAGAGCCAAGTTGAGCATATCACCAGCACGGAAAGAAATTTCTTCCTCAGATACAGCAGCAAAATCATATTCTGCTCTAGCAACTACATGATCATCTTCACCACTTGCCCAGTTGGTGCTCTCTAGAAGCCAAATTAAGAATTAGATTAAATTACTAAAATTTATAAAAAGAAAATGCAGGTATTTCACCGGCCATGATTTGTAAGCTGCATGAATTTTATCTGCCAAGAGAAAAGTTCCCCTGAAAAAGTAAATTCTGTAATTCAAAACCAAACCAATTGCTGTTAAATAGATTTCGACTCATGGCAACCCAATGTGTGTCAGAGTGGAACTGTGCTCAACAGGGTTTTCAATTAACACTATGTAAAATCAACAATACATTCACCAGGACATCTAATGTGAACTTTTTCCTTCTCTTCCAGCTCCAAATTCCAACTTCCTTACAAGTCAGCGCTAGACAAACTTTTTCTATAAAGGGTAAATAGTAAATATTATAGACTTTGTGGGCTGAGAGGCAAACAGAGGATATTGTGCAGTTACTTATATAACAAGAGAGAAAAATAATTTTCACAAAATTTTTATTGGCCAAATTCAAAATACAGTAACAATTGAGTTCATTTTTTATAACACAGGTCCCACTACTAAAAACAATGGAATCTTTTTTTAGGGGTTCAAAGGTAGTGTTTCTCATCATCAAAACTGACTGTGAATGTTCATCTATCAATGCTGATTTGTAATGAGATTTCAGTTATTTCATCTTTAAAAATGTCTTTTCACACAGATAGGTACTGACAAATACTGATATCAATCCATAGCATATGGTTTTAATTGAGCGTAATCAAATTAGAAAGTGTTTATAGAATTTTTAAAAATTCTTCTCTTGATAATTGCTTTTTACTATGTCATTACATTATAATCACTTTCAATGGAAGATTAAGTGGAAGCTCCTCCATGGCACAGTTAAATGGATTTTGAAAGATGGAAATTTCCTTTGTACCTGCATGGAGGTTAAGGTTAAAAAAACAAAAAACTGTTGTATTATAGTTTGATCTTGGAAAATTTATCTGCTGCAAATTTGTATGGAAATAAAGATCTAACTTCTTGTTTTAACTTTTAACAACTTAGGAAGTGTATAATGCAAATCAGCAAAAGCTGATTTCCAAAGCCATTGAGTGTTTAATAACAGCAGTTGAGAGTGGTTCTTCCCATTCAGAAAAATTTCAAACTTACCCACTACTAAGCCACCAAACTGCTGTGTGGTAATGCAAGTCACGATACTCAGGTTCTACATTCGTAGAATTGGCAACGGTTATGTCTACCTTTGACCCTACTGGTTCAATAACACATGACAGACTCAAATAATTCAAATATTTTTTGCAAAGGACCTGCTGATGACTAATACAGTGAATAACTGTAAACATTAAACACTTTACATTTTCATGAGCTCTGTAAATTTTGTCCAACTAATCCTTATTCTGTTCTACATGTATTTTTACCACCATTTATAACACATTTGAGCTTATTCTATTTCAGGCTTTAATGAATTAGTGTTTTTCCAACCTCTACGAAAATATTCTTGACTATAGTTGTTTTACACAAACTACTGATAGAGGCTAATTCTTCAGTCACTTCAAATTCATCACACTCCTCAAAGAGACAACAACTGAGCAGCATCAATAATATATGTTGGGTAATTATGAGACAAGGAAAGTCACCTGAAATAATTTGCTTTGTTTTACATTGATTAGTGGTGCTATTCCCAATGTCTTCAGGTCTTTTGAGCAATTGTTTTCATCAAAAGGTTAAGAGTCAAACAAGCCTGCTTTTTTTCTGGTTCTGCCTTATTATGTGTGTGACCTTGGGCAAGTGATTTCTCTGAACCTGAGCTTTTTCACTTATAAAATGTGGATAATTCCTATCTTTCAGAGTTGTAAGAATTAAAGGGATAAAAGATACAAAATATCTAGCACAGTGTCTTGCATAAAATAAATGCTCAATAAACCTTACTTCTCTCATAAACTGTCATTTCTTACACCCTTTCTGCCTCATTACAGTTACCTGCATAAGTGTGTTACCTTCCAAAAGTTTTAGAAATGTAGGGATTATGCCCTATACATCTTTGTATTCTTCATAACACCAAGTTCAGTACCTAGTAAGAAGAAGTTAGGTAATGTATACTTTGAACAATGAATACATCAGACTGTTTTTGATATATATTTCTCTTTCAGTTTTGAAATTCTTAACTGAAAATATAATTGGATAAAAATATTAAATAAAAATGAATATAAAGAATGCTAATTTAACAAATCTATTCTTGAAACGTGAGAATGCAATATGGTTTCCAACCCATTTGCTTACTCTTACCTGTTATTTCATCATTGTGGGTAGATAGCAGTTTCCAGATGAGGTAAGGACCACCAAGGATAACAGCAAAAAACAAGAATATTGGCCAGGATTTTGCTGAGTTAGCTGCTCTGTCCTCGGCACCAAGGCAAGCCACAGTTCCTTCACTTTCTGCCCACAGGTCCTCGTTCTCAGAGCCTCTTCTTAAACCTATCATCCATTGTAACCGTCTGTAAAGATATCTTATAGTCCTAACTAATGCAAAAGCTGAAAATACCTTTGTGAAATGTACTTTTAATCGGGAAAAGTGATTTGCTACATCCAATACAGCCCTGAAACTGTTATAGACAGCTGAAAAGGTTGCATCCATCATCATACTGACAGAGGCAAATGCATGCACAATACTCTCAATGGACTGAAATGCACCTCTGCTGCTTTCCTCAGCTTGCTGAACAAATCTACTGGGTGGAAGATCATCTATCCGGAAGCGGTTATAGCCCAACCCATTATATCCATAACTATAAGGGCTATAGCTTCCATAAAACGAATTTCCATAGGTACCATATGCAGAAGAAAATGAACTGTAAGCAGGTCTGAAAGTGTTCACACTGCTGCTTCCTGTCTGCTGTGATGGCCTTGGAAGAATAGGTGGAGGCACTCTGGTAAGTGTTGGCTGTCCAGGTCTTGTCAGTAAAGTAGAACCCAAATCAGCAGATCTAAAACCAAAAAAGATTCAAACTAGTAACTTAACCACACAGTAAATTCAATTCAAATGAACTACTAAACACCTCCTACATGCCTAGTGCTATGACAGATTCTATTGAAGATGTTTTGAGTAAGGAATAGTTTTAATCTCCAGAGGTTCAAAATCTCAAGTGGTAAGACAAAATGAACAATAAAATAAAATAGGTGACTGAACTCTATCATTTTTCTTGTTCACTTATGCTGGCATTATTATTATCTTTAGTCAGTGATATCTTTTTAAGATGCTTGGTCATTTTATTAGGGCTAGTGGCAACTAGCTATCTGTCCATCCTTGCATCCAAATAACAGTTTATCTTAATTACCTTAGTTTTACAATAGGTCTTAATAGCCAATAAAGCAAGCCTTCCCACATTGATTAGAGTTTTAAGTTCTTAGCTTCCTTCATTCACCAAAAAACCAAAACTCTGTTGAGATTCTGTTTGGGATTACATTGAATCTATAGATTAATTTAAGGAGAATGGAAATCTTTATAATATTGAGAGTTTCAAATCCATGAATACAGCACATGTTCATTTAAGTCTTTTAAAGATTTTTAAATATCTGGTCCCTATGAGGTGGAGGTTAAAGATGTCCCAAATGCCCAACTTTTTCAAACTGCTGTACCACTCCATCATCTCTAACATTAACTTCTCCTTCTCAACTCAGTACTCTTCCTCCTGCCTTAGGGTTCTGCATTTCGCTGTAACATCTCACAGAACTCACTAACTGCCAAGGAAATGGCTCAAATCAGCTGCTGTCTCAAGTCCAGGGGTGCGATGAGGATGAACCAAATGCAAGACCAGAGCAAGAGAGCAAACTTTCCCAGGAAATTCATTATATATATATGTGTGTGTGTGTATATATATATATATATATATATATATATATATATATACATATATATATATATATATATATATATATACACACATATATACATATATATATGAATAATCTCCTCATGGCAACTAAGGGTGGTGACTTGAGTCACACCCTCCAGCAAGGCAGGACTCAAGATACATCCCACCCTAAACCAGCATAAAGATTGTTGTTTTTAGGTGTCAAGTTTAGTCGAGTCAAGTTGGCTCTGGCTGGTGGCAATCCTATTTAAAACAGAAACACTGCCTGGTCCTGTGCCAGCCTCACAATCCTTGCTATACCCGAGCCCATCGTCACAGCCACTGTCTCAATCCATCTCATTGAGGATCTTTTTTTTGCTGACCCTCCACTTGACCAAGCTTGATATCTTTCTCCAGGGAATGGTCCCTTCTGACATGACCAAAGTATGTGACACAGAGTCTGGCCATTCTTGCTTCCAAGGGGCATTCCAGCTGCACTTCTTCCAGAACAGATTTGTTAGTTCTTTTGGCAGTCCATGATACTTTCATTATTCTTCGCCAACACCACACCTCAAAAGTATCAACTCTTCTTCAGTCTTCCTTATTCACTATTCAGCTTTCATATGCATATGAGGCTTTTAAAATACCATGGCTTAGATTGTTGTTGTTGTTTGCCGTCGAGTCAGCCCCGACTCATAGCGACCCCTCCTTGGGTTTCCGAGGCAGTATCACTACGAAAGTAAGATTGCCCAACCTTCCTTCTGAGGAGTGGCTGGTGGGTTTGAACGCCAGCCTTCTGGTTAGCAGTCAAGTGCCTTAGCCACTATGCTACCAGAGCATGGCTTAGATTAGGAGCACCTTAGTCTTCCAAGAGACATATTTGCTTTTCAGCATTTTAAAGAGGTCTTTTGGAACAGATTTGCCCAGTGCAATATGTCATCTGATTTCTTGATTGCTGCTTCCACTGGTGTTGTGGAACAAAGTAATATGAAATCTTTGACAACTTCAATCTTTTCCATTTATCATGATGCTGTTTATTGGTCCAGAGACTAGGATTTACAATACATCACAAAATGGAGGACAATGGCTAGAAGGGCCGTATCAAACAATCCACTGCACTGTAACTACACACACTGTTGCAGCACGTAACATACTGATGTTATCATTTTCACATCTTTACTGGCAGATGATTATGATTTACTGTTCAACATTGCCATATAGCAGGCTATGAAAACAAAACAAAACAAAAAGAGGCATTTTACTTACATCACAACCAACTATGATTATGTTGGAATGGAACTTAGTCTCAGTTAGGGATTGCCTTTATTGCACTGCCTAAGATCTGCAGTACAATCATGAACAGAAGTGGTGATAGCAGGCATCCTTGTCTCATTCCCCATTTCAAAGGGGAAGTTTTCAACACATTACCATCATTATGTTTGTTTGCTGTAGATTTGATGTATATTTAGAGGTTTCTTTTCTACTTATAATTTGCTAAGAGTTTTTATCATTAATGAACACTGAACTTGTATCAAATTATTTCTCAGTATCTATAAAGATGACTATATAAATGGTGAATTAATTTTCAAATGTTAAAGCCTCCTTGTATTCTTACAATAAAACTAAGTGACCACGATACACTACAGGATTTAGTTTGCCAGTATTTTGCTACAGATTATTAGCATCTATAGTCATGAGTTAGAAGGTCCTATAATTTGCTTTTGTCAAATTTGGTTATCAAGGTTATAGTGGCCTCTTAAAAAGAGTCAGGGAGTGAGTGCTTCCTCTTTTTCTATTTTCTGAAAAAGTTTGTACAATCATTTCTTCCTTGAAAGTCTGGTAAAAATCACCAGTGAAGCCATATGGGGTCCTCTCAGTTGGAAGGCTTTTAATTATGAATTCAATTTCTGTAGTACCATTCTACTCAAAGTGTGGTCTATGGACCAGTACTTGTCTGTGAACCACTTGTACCAGTTTGTAATGAGAAATTAATTATGTGCTTAAGTAATCTGGTACTACTATGATATTTTTACTGTATTAGTTACTCACCATGGTTAATTTGAGAAGCACTGTTTATACAGTTAGTATTAGGACTATTCATCTTTTCTATTTGTAAATTATACCTTGCTTCATTCACCCTCTAAATCATTCCCTTTCTCTTGTGTATTTTCCATCTTTTCATTTCTTTATGCTTCATTGTAGACATTTTCTTCTCAACTGTCCTGTAGGTCACTGCTGTTACCAGTACCAATGTGCAACAAGGAACTTGAACCATAATGTAGATAAACACATTCTTTCATTATAGAAATAGTTTTGCTACAAAGAAAATGGCAGTTGAACTATTCTACCATCATTGTAAGTCCTTCCCACAACTATTTTTACATACTTCTACTGTACAGTACCATATACAAGAGAGGCAGGATCCAGGTAAGGGGTGGAAGGCAGGGCTAGACCCCAGTCCCCTAGAGCCAGGAAAGGGAGGGAGTGGAGCAGCTGAGGACCACAAGAGTGGCAGGATCCAGGTAGAAATTAGGTAAGGGGAGGGCAGAGAGGTTTCCAACAGCTAAGGGAGAAAAACTTGTCTGTCAGTTTGTCATCCTATAGGGCTTGCATGTTGCTGTGAGGCTTGAGGCTGTATCACCGGTATTTCAAATGCCAGCAGGGTTGCACATGGTACACAGGTTTCAATGCAGCTCATAGACTGAGACAGACAAGGAAGAAGGAAGAGGCCATCCACTTCTCAAAAAATTGGTCAGAGAAAACCTTATGAATAGCAGAGAAACACTGCCTGATACATTACTGGGCAACTTCATGAATAGCTTGGGAACATTATATGACACAATGCAGGAAGAAGAGCTCCTTGGGTCGGAAGACACTCAAAATAGGACTGGGAAAGAGCTGCATCATCAGAGTAGAACCAACCTTAATGATATGGATAAAGCAAGTCTTTCAGGACCTTCATGTGCCCACATGGCATGACTCAAATTGAGAAATAGCTGCAAATATCCATTATTCATAGGAACATGGAATGCATGAAGTATGAATCTAGGAAAATTGGAAATTGTCAAAAATGAAATGGAATGCATAAAGATTGATACCTTAGGCATTACTGAGCTGAAATAGACCAGTTTTGGGCATTTTGAATCAGGCAACCATATGATCTACTATGCTGGAAATGACAAATTGAAGAGGAATGGTGTGGTGTTCATCATCACAAAGGATGTTTCAAGATCTGTCCTGAAGTACAATGCTGCCAGTGATAGGATAATATCTGTATGTCTACAAGGAAGACCAGTTAATATGACTATTACTCAAATTCACGCACCAACCACCAAAGCCAAAGATGAGGAAATTGAAGATTTTTATCAACTTCTGCACTCTGAAATTGACCAACCATGCACTCAAGATGTGTTATCACCAGTGACTGGAATGCAAAAGTTGGAAACAAAGAATAATCTCCAGTACTTGGAAAATTTGGCCTTGGTGACAGAAATAATGCTGGAGATCACATGGTAGAATTTTGCAAGACCAATGACTTATTCATTGCAAATACTTTTTTTCAACAACACAAACGGCGGCTATACACGTGGACTTCACCAGATGGAGTACACAGGAATCAGTGTGGCTACATGTGTGGAAAGAGGCAATGGAAAAGCTCAATATCTTCAGCCAAAACCAGGCCATCGACTGCTAATATGCAAGTTCAACTTGAAGTTGAAGACAATTAAAACAAGTCCACAAGAGCCAAAACATGGCCTTGAACAGATCCCTCCTGAATTTAGAGACCATCTAAAGAATAGATTTGATGCACTGAACACCAATGTCCGAAAACCAGAAGAATTGTGGGATGACATCAAGAGCATCATCCATGAAGAAAGCAAGAGGTCATTAAAAATGTCAGAAAGAAAAGACCAAAATGGGTATCAGAAGAGACTCTGAAACTTGTTTTTGAGTGAAGAGTAGCTAAAGTAAATGGAAGATAGTAAAGAGATGGAAACAACCTAAATGCCCATCAGTGGATGAGTGGATAACCAAATTATGGTATATTCACACAATGGAATACTATGCCACATTAAAGAACGATGAGGGATACACAAATCATCTCACAACGTGGATGAACCTGGAGGACATTA